CTGATTGTGGTTTTTTTTTTTTTTTTTTTTTTTTTGTGTGTGTGTGTGTGTGTGTGTGTGTGTGTGTGTGAATAAATGAGGTAGTCAGTAATGATTATGAGGATGATGATGTGTCCCCGTATTTTTTTGACTGCTTCTCTGTGCAGGATCTCTTTTTGGAAACAAACATCCTGGATTCTCTTGTAGCTCTAGCAAGGGTAAGATCCAAACCCAAGCGGCAAACTCCTAACACGCAAAGCTGAAATTGTACTCAAGAAGATTCAAACGTCTCCACAAAAAAGCACCAAAATTGAATTGCACTGAGGATATCCACCTACTGGTTTGATGGTGGTACAAAAGAACTGATATTATAATAAGGTGATGGAAAAAAAGGTCTACGGCCCTTCCCCACTGAGGAGTTCGGGGGGTTCTCAGGCCCGTTCTTGATTTTATTTGGGGAGACCAGACGTGGGACGTCTGTTTTTTCTTTCCCCTTAAACAGAACCTTATGGTTCTGGCTCCTTTCCATTCTGGGGAGCATCAGTCCGGTTCCTATTCCACCGGCAAGTCAAAAGGAATTACAAATGGGATACACACACGCTCTTCCCCTTTACGGTAAGAAAGTCCGAGGGACAGCATTGATTACTTCACAGCGGAAGAATGTACCGCCCCTCACCCCTGCCTAAGTTAGCCTGATTTCTTTTGTTTGGAGCCTAAGACTTGGAAACAAATCCGATATGTGGTCTCTGTAGACTTGCTTATTAGGGCCTCGTCTAACCTGTTCCTCTCAGTTCCTCGACTGCCAGAATCCCATTAGGATCTAGAACTGCAGACTTGACCCTTACCAACAGGTCTTGAGAGACCCTAAATCTTCGCTGGACTTGTTGCTGGTGCCAATGGCTTCTATTAAAACCCTAACCTCCCTTTTGCAAAAAGTCCCCTCTTCACCGCTCTCTAACTCATACTAAAACCCTAAACCCTAGCTATTTTATCTGGTCTACTGTGCACTTATTTGAAATCTCTTCCTAAGGATGTGTCCCATATCCTAATTTCAATCCTGTTAATGAGCCGTAATGCCGTTCTGGGAGATCTTTGTGGGGTGGGACTGGTGTTGCTTTTGCTGGACAGAGAAGAGAATGTGAGGGTCGTTTTTATATTCTAGTGGATCAGCAATGGTGCCTTTTGTCTAGTTTTGTCCTTTGAGGCATCCTTTTAGAAGAGAAACGATAAAGAGAGGATTAGCATGGTGCCTGACTGCAAATGAGTGCCGGTGGATAGACTCTGTGAAATCGTTTGTTTTTTTTTCCCCCTCCTGTGTCTCTCTTCCTTCCGTACTGCTCCTCTTCGCTTTGTACTTCTTCCTCCTGACTTTCTCCTGTGTTCTGCTGTTCTGTGTCCCATTCTCTGAATTGTAGGTAATTGCCTTGAATTATTGTGATTCTCTTGTTTAATTAACCTTAATATCCATTTTTCCTCAAATATCTTTCTGCTGCTCTCCTTTTTTTGGGGATCTGTTATTTTTCTTGTTTCCTGAGTTCTTTTTTCCATTGTGCTCTGATTTCTGTTTCCACTATTTCTTTTGTTTCATTCCATTATTGTTCCATTGTTGTCCTCAGGTTCCCTAATGTACCTTTGCATCTTGTGCGCCATATGACCCATAGAGCCGCTCTTCTTATTAGGTCTGCTACTGATCTTTCTTCTTCTTCCAATTTTCCTTCACCGTCTCTTGCTGAGAGTAGGTAGTTGGCTTGCGCTGGGTACGGGTTCGAGGAGATGTTGGACCAGGCTGTCCTGACTGACTCCCATAGTGAGCATGTGGGCACTCAATCAAGCAGTGAATGAGGTATTTTGTTTTGTTATCCCTGCACATTTTGCAATGGGATGATTGTTCCGTCCTTTGGTCTGTCCTCCTACTTGAGTCTAGCCATTCATTGACTGGGAGCGCCCAGTAAAGGATCAGCCACTGCAGACTTCTGAATCTAGTGGGTCTTATGCTGCTGTAGTAGTCCCACGGGATTTCAGACGGCCAACCATGACTTTCTCCTAGATGTTTGGACCATCTTTTTGAGATGACAGGACATGGGTCATCTGTCTTGTTCCTTATTTTGTACCCTATCTTTGCCTCATAGTCCTGCAGATTGATTAGTTTTCTTGCTCATCCCCTGCCCAGTTTGACATACCATCCCCACTCTGTTGGGTCCACCTCCAACTCTCTGATGTCCTTATTTGGTCTGAATATTAGTTGTTTATTCGTGTTGTTGTTGTTGTTCTGAGTTTCTTTTTTCTTTTTCTGGGACCATGTTCTGACTTTCCTGATGTTTTCTAGGTTGAATTTATTATTATTATTATTATTATTATTATTATTATTATTATTATTATTATTATTATTGTTATTATCATCATCAACAGGTCCGTATGGTCCTGGCTCCATTTCCATTCTGGGGAGTGTCAGTCCGGTTC